ATATCGCTAGAAGTTCAATATTGTAATTACGTTAAGCATTAAACCAACTAGACAAATTTGACACCAAACCAACAACGTCCGTTAGCTCTTTAAACATAAAGGTTCACTGCTTCCTAGCAAAACTAGTTTCACAATAATGACACACCACGTAATTTCCAAGTTATGTGTGTGGATTATATTTATTTATTAAAATAAACTAACTAAGAAGGCATGATCAGTAAAAAGAAAAGAAGCATAAACTGATTCAAACAAATACATCTAACACGACCCAATCGCTAGCGGAAGACTCAAACGACCCGCCGCCGCCGTAATCCACAAACCAAAAAAACAGCGATTTAAGCCTTCTTTTTTATAAGACATATTTTCAATAAAAGGAACCAGTGCATTAACTTCTTCTTTGCACAGTTATTATTTCTGCAATTGTTGAAAAGATCAAAATGTTCAAGATCTTTTTTCTTTTAATAGTCAAGGTGGAGCATTTGTTTAATTCACACTAGACATTCATAACTTTTCCACCGTCGTCTGAAAACCGATAACAGACTATGTAGTAGGAAACTCAAGATTAATTTATGATTTTAATCCCTAATTATGGTGGCTTTGATACCAATTGTAAGATAATTAATCTATAGTCATAGCAGAGATTAAAACACAATCATACAGATATAATATCATAATCTTGAGTTAGAGTCTAAGGAAGCATGCCGTTAAACTCCATGGATTCAGCAGTGACAGCAAACAGCGATTAAGCCTGAGACCAACTTCCACAATCCACTAGCTACGCGCTCTTAAAGTCTGGAGAACTTGACTGATGGGACGTCTACTGTTACCACGTATTCAAGAAGCAAAATATGCTAGGGTTTTCTAATAGCTAGGGAAAGAGGGGTTGACCTCTATTTATAAAGAGTGTCTACCCATCACAGACCAATAGTTATTGGGCCTCACTTATCCACACACACGATATTTAATATTAGGCCTTTTATTTATGCACCACTTGGGCCACGTCACTATCCTTTCAGGCTATAACCAATTAACGTAAGTCCAAATTCTAACAGTCACGTGACTGCTAATTTCACACTCCCCCTCAAACTGGTGGGTGCAAAAACGTTTAGCACTCCCAACTTGCTGACTAGATGTTCATGCTGAGCTCTTGGCAGCCCATTTGTTAGAATGTTTATTTCTTGATCCCTTGTGCCTATATGATAAGTTTTCACCAGTCCTTCTTGAATCTTTTGTCTAATGAAATGACAGTCTATTTCTATATGCTTCGTCCTCTTGTGAAATAGAGATTTGCTGCTATCTGTATTGCTACTTTACTGCTATTGTATACGTCAATTGGCAGTGTAACTTCTATTCCTAACTCCTTCAATAGTGTTGTAACCCAGACCAATTCTAATATAGCACTTGCCATGCTCCTGTACTCTGCCTCAGCTGAGCTTTTAGACACAGCACTTTATTTTTTTGACTTCCAAGAAATCAATGACTCTCCATATTTGATTAGAAAACCAGACATTTATTTCCTTGTGTTTGGGCACGATGCCCAGTCTGCATCACAAAAGACACTCAATTGTTTGATCTGGTGCTACTTAGCAAGATCCCTAAACGTAGCTCCCTCTTGATATACTTCGGAACTCTCACTGCAGCTTCCCAATGAATTGTTTTTGGTTGTTGTAGGAACTGGCTGAGATTTTATACTAAGAATGCAATATCTGGCCTAGTTAATGTAAGGTATAATAGCTTCCCTACTAACCTTTGATATTGTCCTTTATCTTCTAAGAGTTGATCATCCTCTTTGCCAATTAGCTTGTCATATTCTGGAACTGTTAGTTTGACATTTGCCTCAAGAGGTGTCCATGCTGGCTTCGCACTTCCTAGGCCTAATTCTGAGATTATCTCAAAAGAATACTTTCTTTGATTAACTATAATCCCTTTCTTTGACCTGCTGAACTCCATTCCTAAGAAAAATTTTAAATCACCCAAATCTTTGATCTTGAATGCTTTCTGTAATGAATTTTTGGTTTTCTCAATCAACCTCAAGTTGTTTCCTATCATCAACATATCATCTACATGGACTAGTAAAATGACAATGTCCCCATCCTGTTATTTGATGAATAGGGAATAATCTAGACTGCTTTGGGTAA